CAATAACTTAGTACAAGGTTTTTCTTAGTATAAGTATTAGTCACGATACATGTAAATACCTTCTGGATTGTATTTATTTTGGATGGATATTTAGATTCGGATTCTATTTATGTGGCAACGTACTTTATATATTTTCTACTATACTGTCATTGATACATATTGTATTTCACTTTAATTCAGCGATCTATTTGTGTCTTGTTTTCAAAGACCACATTTTGTTAATAACTGTCATTTCAGTATTGGCCAAAAATACCCCCCACCCCCATCGCCGAGCAGCCCTGCTCCCACCAGAGTTCCATAGTCACGTAACACCATGCTGAAACACATCCACAAAGTCCCGTCATACAGCTAGCATTCACTCACTCAAGTAACTGTCCCAGAGAAACCACATTCACACGGCAGACATACAGTTAGTTAAGCTACTGAAATAGGCACGGCTACCACAGATCATGTCGCAGCTGTTTTGTCAGGTGTATTTGTTGTAGTGGCTGTTGTTTATTTGGGACTTTACACCGTGACGTGTCCATTCTCACATACAGATGATTTCATGATTTGGACTGTTACAACTGCACAACGTACGTCACGGTGTGTATAGCGCAGGTGCTATATACACAAAGTATTTGAATAATCTAATCTAAAGTACTCCAGGAATTGGCAGCAGCACAGCCAATAATGTCTTTCCATACAGGAAGTATGAAGTATGAAGTGTTACATGAGGGCATCGCAGGGAACATGTTATAATTGTCTGTTTGAAATTGAGTTAGAAGAATATATTTTTATGTATATTTTATCTATTTGAATACAGGGCATTTGAGTATCAGGCCACAAAATCATGTACATGAAGATTTTTCTCATCAACTAGGGTAACTGTTGTTTTTTGTATACATTGAATTGTAGCTTGAATTGTTTATTCATATTATTTGTTATTTTATATTTAAAAAATGCAAAATATAATTTACTATGCATTTTTTAAACGGATTGTCCAGATTGTACTTCTACTACAACAGACGATAGGTTTACTTACTCACCAACAAGGAATCCTCATTCTAACAGGTGTTCTTCAATAAGTTAGTATATATTACAACTATTGTTGATTTTTTTTCTATAAATACTCAAGTAGTCCTTTGTCATACACAGTTTTGCCAATTTAACTGGTAAGAGCTGACTCTGTTTTCTGCAATAGGACACCTTAAGACACCTTCCACTCACTCTTATTCAAACTTCTTCAATCAAACAAAATGTATTGCTGTGTGTTTTTGGAGAAAATATAATTTGACACACAAAAGTTGCATTAGAGGAAACACTCCCCAATGTAGATTGGACTAGACTTTTTCTGGTCTTTTAAGTGTAAAATAGTAGAATATAAAAGTATGCGCTCTCCTTTTAGGAATAATAACAATTTGAAATGTGAAAATAAAGAAATGTTTTCATTTTATGGCCACATCTATGGTCCGTATTTATTAAATAGACAAGGGATATCAACAGCAACACCACAGCCACATGATAAAACGACAGGATATCTGATGAGTCTCCTCCCTACAGTGTGACCTGCTCCAGCGGCGAGCTCGATTTCTTATAAATCACGTGATTAAAAGTCAAGCTTGCAATGTGGTTGCAACATGGATCCAGCAGGTGGGGCTTTTTCACACTACACTGACTGTCCACTAATAGGACAGTTAGTTGAGTTTTTCTCAACACGGGATATGTTTAGTCTTTTCATGTAAGCATTACAGTCAATGAATGTCTACCGGTGAAAACACACAACATGAGTGCCAAGAGACAAAGATTCCTGGACATGATTAGGTTTCCAGTTTAATTTTTAGTTAGCTCTCAACTGCCTATGTGCCAAATAGGTGTGGTTCAAACCATTGTTAGTATTTGTATTAAAGATACTACTGTAAAATTTTTTTAAAAAAAGCACCCTAGTGGTTGGTTCTTTGGCAAGGTCATGTTGTTGACACTTTCCACCTGTACTGGTTATGCCAGTCATCTGGCGTAACAAAAGACTGTTGCCGCCTTTTGTTATCTGTTATTTAAATTCTGTCAGCCCTTGACGGTAAGTGCTTGTAAAAAGCTATCATTTGAAATCATCAACTCCATATCTCTATGTGACAGGTGATGGCGCTGTACTGTATGCGGAGGTCAGAGAAAGATTGTGATATCTTATCAGTTGCTGGTTAGGTTAGGCTCCGTCTTTGAGGCCCTCTAGGAACCGATCTCATTTAAACCTCAGTCCTAGGTGATTTGGACAAACTAACTATTACAGCTATGCCGTATCGTTGTTATCTTAAAGGTGTAGCATAACACTGTACGTAATCATGGGACGCAAATAACTAAACATGGGAAGTACCTGGTGAATAATTAACGACGAAACCACAGCGCTTCCTTTTTTTACATGTATCAAACCAGCATAAGCAGCACAACTTCTCGTTTGTGGTACTTTGGGTTTTGCCGCCATCTACTGGTGTTTTGTTATACCTGTTTTATTTTTCAATTCTTGTGCAAACGGGACACCTAGTGGTGAATTATTTAATTGTCAATTGGATATTCAGAGCAAATCTTTATCAGAAAAAAACCAAAAAAACCAAAAAACAATAATACTAATAATCAAAGTAATAAAAATAATAATCACAGGTTGGTAACTTTACATTTACATGAATGCATTTAGCAGACACTTTTAGCAGACACTTTTATCCAAAGTGATTTACTAGAGGATTTACAATCAAGCTACATAGAGGAACTCTAGAAAGGAAACCACTAATTAGAAAAGCTGCACTTCCAGAGGGTGAAAGTGCAATGGGAGACAAATGCAGAAGGAGAATAATAATTTATAAAAAAAATTAAAAAATAATAATAAATAATTCAGTGAATCTCTGTGTCAAAACAATGAGTCAACAGCAAATCACCATCTATGTTTTCATCACATACAGCAGGGGTCAACAACGTGGTGTCCGTGGGCCCCTAGTAGCCCACGTGGACTACATCAAGGGCCTGCAGGGTATGTTCTAAAAATATAACTAGTCAACAAGAAGGTGAAAAATTGTACCGTTACTGTGCTTTCTGAATCAGTTCCACTTGCGATGATATTCAAATGAACGCAATGACGATGGTAAGAAGAGTGTCTGCTATTGTCTGTCCCAAATTATTGCATTGTTCAGGAAGTGCCCTTGACATACACTATATTACCAAAAGTATTCGCTCACCCATTCAAATGATCAGAATCAAGTGTCCTAATCCATTGGCCTGGCCACAGGTGTATAAAGTGCAAAGAGGTCGCCGACTGTATGCACAGTCAATTGCTACAGAGCTACAAACTTCATGTGACCTTCAGATTAGCCCAAGTACAATACGCAGAGAGCTTCATGGAATGGGTTTCCATGGCCGAGCAGCTGCAGCCAAGCCACACATCACCAAGTGCAATGCAAAGCGTCGGATGCAATGGTGTAAAGCACGCCGCCACTGGCCTCTAGAGCAGTGGAGACGCGTTCTCTGGAGTGATGAATCAAGCTTTTCCATCTGGCAATCTGATGGACGAGTCTGGGTTTGGAGGTTGCCAGGAGAACGGTACATTTCAGACTGCATTGTGCCGACTGTGAAATTTGGTGGAGGAGGAATTATGGTGTGGGGTTGTTTTTCAGGAGCTGGGCTTGGCCCTTTAGTTCCAGTGAAAGGAACTTTGAATGATTCAGGATACCAAAACATTTTGGACAATTCCATGCTCCCAACCTTATGGGAACAGTTTGGAGCGGGCCCCTTCCTCTTCCAGCATGACTGTGCACCAGTGCCATAAAGACATGGATGACAGAGTCTGGTGGAGTCCGGAGTCCTGACCTGAACCTGATAGAACACCTTTGGGATGAATTAGAGCGGAGACTGAGAGCCAGGCCTTCTCGACCAACATCAGTGTGTGACCTCACCAATGCGCTTTTGGAAGAATGGTCAAAAATTCCTATAAACACTCTCCTCAACCTTGTGGACAGTCTTCCCAGAAGAGTTGAAGCTGTAATAGCTGCAAAAGGTGGACCGACATCATATTGAACTCTGGGTTAGGAATGGGATGGCACTTCAGTTCATAGTATGAGTCAAGGCAGGTGAGCCAATACTTTTGGTCATATAGTGTAGTTCTCACTTTCCAAAAGGTTGGTGACCCCTGACTTATTGCACAACACCTCCCTTTCATATCTTTTTTTTCTGCAGGATATTATGTGAAATAATTTGGAATATCTCTGGCACTTTGTTTCCTTTTTCATTGATTTAACCTTTCAAAATATTTTAAATTTTTTTAAATTTATTTCTTTTTTTTACAGGATGCTATTCATCTTTATTTTGCTGTGACTGTGATAATGATTTAAAATTTCACCTCCATTTGATCAAGACTTTTACTAAGATAAGGGTCACCAAAACACTTAAGTACATCAAATTGATATATATTATTTTAACGTATTTGAATTACACATATAATTCCTAGGCAAAATGAGATACACTGTGTGAAAAATTTATAATACATTTATGTTTAAATGATCTGAGAGAAATATAAATGAGTTGGTTAAGTACATTTCTTTTTACTTTTTATGAGTTCTCCTCCCTCCTCCCCTGAAATAGATACTGTATTTCAAGGTTCTCTGAAGACAAAATGACATATCTTTTAAAATGTGTGAACTATTATCATAAGAGCTGTATATACATAAACATTAATTCGAGGCTTCACACAATTGAAACTGTACGTTTTTAACCGGTTATGTCACGGTGGTATAGACTGTAGAGAATGAAATAGTTAGATAAACCAGAGCACCAGTTAAAGCGCCAGCTTTAACAATGATTACCAAATAGCAAAGAAATGAGAAAAGCAAGTCCCAAATTAGTACCTTACAACCGACAAAAAAAAGAAGAAAAAAGAAAATACTCACCTTAGCTTGCGCATCATTTATGTCCGGCTTGTAGTTGTAGATATTCCAACCCGAATTTCTGTCTAAAAAGATGAAACAAACGCTTTGCCTTCGTGCATTTTGTTGCTTCTACTTTCACTTTTATTTCCACCCGCCTTCGGGGCGAAAACACTACGTCACAGTAAGATTTTAAATACGTTAGAGAAATATAACCTATGTTCTTCGTCTCCTTCGCCACGTGTGAATGCATTGATCGACTGTAGTTCACGAAAATGACTGAAATCCTCAGCTATTTTACTCCTCGGAGTCAAATGTCGATTGATTTGGTCTGTATGTTTTTTTTGTACCGGAAATTTCTCTTTAACTCACTTTGAATGTCAACATGTCGGTAAAGCACCTCCCACTGATGACGCTGTGATTAAGGAACCGTCTGTAAAGTTTCTGTTTCACTAACCACAGCAATTTTCATTGCTTATAATAAATAAATCTTACAAACCATTGCTTAAAAAAACCGCTGCGAATGATGATGTCTGTTAAAGCAAACCAATAGATATTGTATCATATCTACGTTCAACTTTTCTTTATACGTACTGTAGTTACTGACGCATGAAACTGAAAACATTCCCAAAATGCCCATTTGAAAAAACTCATTTGAAAGATACGTTAATAGCATGGCAAACTAATGACATTTGTTAAGGTTTTAAAAATAGCGAAGGTCCCTTAGTTCAATAAGAAACGTTATTATATTTCAACATAAATATTATTCAAACATTAATAAAAAATTTGAAACAAGAAACATATATTCACAATATTTCTTTTCCTACATCAAATTGTAAGTCGCGATGGATAAAAGCATCTCCTAAATGTAAATGTAATGTTACATTTTATAATTTGGTCAATTTCACATAAAACCAAAATCGGAAAATGTCAAAGAAGTGTTGTGTGAACAGTATGGATTATTGTATAATGACAATAAATAACACTGTAAAACAGAACATATTTAAAATTGAGTGCCTTTAGTCTGATAGTTTGCTTCATTGTCTTCTTTCTCGGAGTGGGTTGTGTTGCCAACACCTCTCCTGGGGAACATAAAATAAAATATCATATTAAATATTAATATTAAATATGATTATTTTATTCATTTTGAACTAGTAAAACAGTTCATTTTGTGTGTATGTAAGTAGTCGGTGCTTCCATTTACCTGCATATTTGCTGCATTTGTGGTAAAGTCTCTGGTAAAGTCTTTCCAAACGATTCTGGTAACAGGACACACAGAAAAGCTCCACAGATGGCTAACGTTCCCATCAGTATGTATGGCAGTGGTGGAAAATATTGTCCTACAAAGACATGGTAGACATAGTAAGAGGAAACGCACAAACTACCAAACGTCACTGTGATAGTGCAGCACACAAAGCTGAATTACCCAAGTAAATGATGAAGGGAGAGATGATGGTTCCAATTCTGGCAGCCAAAGAGCAACAGCCCATTGCTGTGTTTCTAATAACCGTGGGGAAGAGCTCTGACGTGACGGCGTAAACCACACAAAAGGCTGCCGTGATGCCGAACTTCCCCAGCATCTCAAGACAAACAGCAACAACTGGTAAATCTGTTGAAAAAAAATCATTGTTCAGTCGATTAACCCTAAAACGGCAAACGTATCATGTTTGATACATGAGTTTTACAGCCCTTCACATGAGCAGTGTGACTTTTTTTCCCCCCTGAAAAACCAGATGTATACAATTAGATACATGCAGTACACAGATAATCCAACAGGGGACAGTAATTCACTCATTAGCGGGCCTTCAAGTGACACTACAGGATTACCATGAAACAGGATTTGGACACAGATGCTTTTGATGGCAGAACTTTGCCAAGTTTGAAAAGGTTAAGATGAGAAAAACATTAAAATTTTTACTGAAACAACAATAGGAACAGTTACTGGGTTGATGCAATGTGAAAATATTTACAATTTCATAATCTATGTTTTAGTAAAAACGTGTTGAAAATGACATATGACATAAGGTCATGTAACTAACTAAATCAGTCAATTGTCATTTTATTGTATTTTTTTGCACTACGTATAACATTTTTTAAATTTTAGAGTAAAAAAAATATGTAACTTGCTGTATCATATTATATATTATTTATTATTATATATAATATATTATATATATATAAATATATAATACATACATATAACTCTAAATCAGTCAACTGTCATTTTATTGTTTTTCATGCATTATATATAACATATTTTTATTTTTAAATTACATAATTTGGTACATTTAGAGTAAAAAATTAGATACATAACGTTCTGTATCATATTATATAATAATGTAATAATATTATTATATAATATTAGCCCAAAGGCAAAGCTCACGATTTACCGATCAATCTACATTCCTACTCTCACCTCTCACCGTCATCCCGAATGATGTCACTGATTGAACTTAGATAAGTTTTGTTTTCAATGTCCTTTGCAGACAAACTTCTTGCTTGGTATTTGGCAAGAACATTTACAGATTATTCCTTGATGTTCGGGTGCTTTAGCTCAATGATGAATTGTGTTCACTTAAATTTGTTGGTATATTTCACGCTACAGTCACTAAACAAATTTGGCACACTACCTGATGGAACGAGTTGAACAGAGAGGATCATTACACCTCCAAGCAGGAGAGAGGACGACTGGCACAGACGTCTGGGCAAGCGCTGGAGCAGTAACAGCGCCACGAGATAAGCCGGCACCTCGGCCACGGCAGATAAGAAGGTGTTTATGTATGGGTTTCCATGTAGTTTTGAGGTGTTGAGTATTAATGCGTAGTAACCAATGGTGATGATGACCCTGCAGAGACATTCGGGACAATAAATAAGTAAATCCTACACCGGTAAAACAATGCATCACCTTAACGTGTCAGGCTTTTAAATAAAAATATCATCTGATCTTTTAATAGACCTACCACAGGATGGAACACATTAAGGTCATTAGGAACACATTGCAGTTGCTCAGTATGACAAAAATGTTGTATTTGTCGTCTTTCTTTTCCAATGACACTTCAATCTGTTCAAAAACAAACAGAAAGTGATGCAACACGTCAAGAAGGCGAAGAACGGATTCAGGTTCCTGTTATTTCTTATTTGAAAAAATTATTTGAGATAAGAACATGTTCCTGTTATTTCTTATTTGAAAAAATGATTTGAGATAAGAACACCTCGAGTTACTAGCTCGGTCCTGGCACGAATTGTGCTCGTATCTCGAGGTTCCGCCACATTATTCGTATGTTAAACATCACCGTGTGATCATAAAAAGTTGCCGTCAAACTCACCTCCTCTCGTGTAAATATGGCCTCTGGAGCCTCTATGTGATTCTCTTTGGCAGCACCTCTGAGAATAGCCTCAGCCTCCTCAACTCTCCCCTGTATCAGGAGCCAGCGAGGAGACTCTGGGACAAACCTGAAGAGTCAAACATGTCGTCATTTACTGTCCTTAATTACCAAACTCACTTCGTTGTTTGGATTTAAAGGACGGTTGACATCCTCATTCCTCTGGTGCATTAGTGCTGCCCTTTGATTCGTGTTCCACAGCACTTTTCTGCTTCCACGCTGGCTCTGGATTTTCCAGTCAATCATCCTTATCCTTTTGGCTTCAGCTTCAAGTGCAATGCCAAGTTACAGGTTAAAACTTTAACTCTCGTGTTGTCCTTCGGGTCAAGGCCCAGTGGCTGATAATATACCTTTGTGTGTGTGTGTGTGTGTGTGTGTGTGTGTGTGTGCTCCTCGGATTCTGGGACAAGATGGACAACGGGAGGGTTAGCTTACTATTAACTTGTAGCTCTGGCATTACCACACAATGAGCCACTAAATCTGAAGGGTTCAACCTGCGACTCTGTCAATAACTAACCTGACAATAACACAGTCAGAAATATACAACACAGTATTACCCTTACCACCAAAGAGGGAAGTAGATCAGACCACAGCCTGCCATTGGAATCAATAGCATCCGCCAGTCCCTAAGGAAGTAGGCCACTGCAGGCATTAGCATATAGCCAGTAGCTGAGGCCATAAAAACCCCAAGGGAACAGAACACGATTCTGACTTTAGGACTCAGAATTTCCGTACCTGTAGGTGTGACAAAGCGATTGTTTTCATTGTTCAACCTCAGGTGTTTTGTTCAATTGCCTATCGCCGTAACAGAAATGAATGAAGCGTTACATACCTAACACAAACGCAATGATGTAGTTGGAAAACCCCCCTGCTCCAGCGAAGAAGAAAATGAGACAGAAGACTTCCCAGCTGGGCGAGAAAATCTGGGCTGTGATTGAAACCGTCTGCAGAGCCATCATGGAAAAAAGGCTCAGTTTCCTTCCATACCTGCAAAGACGATACAGTTTACACACACACAGTTATGATAAGACTTTTTTTATTTTAACGGACCTATCAGACATTTGACCTGACACCAGGGCTCCCAACAGCACACCCACGTAGTGGATGGAGGTCGTCAGTGGGATTTTGTATCCGTTGTCGCACACCAGGTCCCACTGCAAATTCAACAAGGGATTCAATAAGAAACGTAAATGATTCAGTGAACAGTACACACCACCGTCATTTTGTTTTGTTTTGTTTTTTATCATTTCAACCAAATAGGAACGTGTCTATTTTACAACAGATCTCACCTCTGTGACGATGGTCGACTGGTAGATTTCTCTGCTGTATGTCCAACCATCCAAACAAGGTTCCAGAGGGATTTCACTGACATTCACATCCACGTGTGGGAACTTATTAGACTGTGAGTAGCCTCTGACAACCTCCAAGCTTAACCTAGAGCAGGAGCTGCGCTTTTCAACCCCATTATTCGTTTCCACGGGAATCGTCACATTCCTCCACTCCTCGCTGATGTTGTAGCTCTCAGGGACGAAGCACTCATGAGACGGCGTGTCGCCTACAAATACGATATAGATGCCGATAAAACCGTTCGGAAGTATGCTGATAGCCAGGGCAAGAAATACCCTCACTTGGAAACGTCCCCAAGATCCAAGAAAAGATGTAATGCTGTCATAGTCTCTGATTTTAGAGCTTTCCATAATCTCTGAAAAGTCTTTTGTATTTCTTAAAATGGAAAATAACAAATACTCTACCCTCTCCTGCAGTGTGACAGCTGTTCTTAACTGCTGAAGGTTAATAATACTCTAGAGAGAAGTTGCTCAGTTATAAAGAAAAAAAGCAGTGCCATTTATGGTCACATGCAAATGAAGCGTGTGCTGGTGACCCTGTGTTACCTTATTTATGATTAGCCATAAAGATTTAACAGGTAATCAAAGTTCATGGAATTTCACAATTTGGATTAAAAAAATAATTATAAAACAAAAAATAAAAAACTTTTACTGTATCAACATTACAAATAAAATAAAATAAAAAATACATTGAATAAAATTACAACATATTGTGATCACATAACTTCACCTCAGAAAACTGCAGCGATGGTTCATATCAACACACATTATGTAACAGTGAGGGTGTGAGTGTACTTCGCTGAAGGCAGTACAAATGCATTTTTCAAGGAATTTTAAGATTAGAGTTTTTTTTATATCAATCAGACCTTTGTCATACGAATAATGAGAACAAAGTGAGGCCATGCATGACAACTCAGTGTGGTCATGTTTTAATCTAATGTTTGTTTATTGTGGGGGGTTTTCTCTCACAAAAAATATATATATTCCAATCTGACCAAAAAATTAAAAGGTGCATTTTGTAACATTTTCAAAATTTTAATAAGGGATGTCCGATCATATCGGCCGACCGATATTTTCCTGACTGGCCTGATATTAGCATCATTATGTAATATCTGCATATATCGGTATCTGAAATGAAGTGTTTGGACAATATCAGCATTTCGGATACTGGCAAAAAGTTCAGACATCCCTAGTTTTAATGTAACTGGTTAACGGAAACGCAATATAAAATAATTTACAGACTGCTCTCCTATTTGCATCAAATGTGAGTCAGAGTTCTATATTGAGTATAGTGAATATACTCAATATAGAACTCTGACTCAAGACCATTCAATTGCAATTTTACCCTTTTTCTAGGAATTCTCAGATTAAAGTTCTACAATCAATTGCCCCCTGTTCCTTTTCTATATCTTTTCCCTCATCATAAAAAAATCACATTGTGTAGAACGACTCCATGTGTTCACATTTTAATTTTTTGACATAAAATCACAGTTCAATCTGACAAACACAAAGTTAAACGTTCATACAAATACTTTAAAAGGTATAACTTGCAATATTTTGAAATAATGTCACCACCAACTTTGTAAAAAAAAAAAGCACTACACACTTATCGTTGACAGGTCTGATTTGAACTCTTGTTGTGATTGCAGGCTGCTTCCATTCTCCACGTATTTCTTCTTCTTTAGCCCACTGCACAGTCTGAAAACATGAGACGCGTCACTTGTACATTTTCACTGACTACTTTCAGTCTCCAGGTCATTTCCCTGATGCTCCATGAAAAAGATAATTGGAAAGATTTAACTCACCCCTGACATTCTTGCATCTGCTCCACTGTTTCTGGAAGATCTTTATTGAGCGTCTCCGGTAGGAACCAGTTAACAATAGAGGAGGCAATGGTCAGACTCCCCATTAGGATATAGGGTAAAGCTTTGTTATAAGTACCTGTAACAAGCAAAAGGTGTAAAAATACAAAAACAAAAACCAACAGTACACCGGACAAACATGGAGTTGGAAAGATAACGTTTAACAAGCTGCATCTTAAGACGCCACCGCACTGCCGTTCCACTCACCTAAATAGATGACGTAAGGAGCTGTGATGCTGCCAATGCGTGCAGCAGAGGAGCACATGCCCATGCCTACGTTCCTGAGGACAGTAGGGTAAAGCTCAGCAGTGTAGATGTACACCATACTGAAGGCCATCGTGAAGCCAAACTTCCCAGTCATTTCCAAGGCTACTGCAACCTGATGAAAGGCTGGGAGGGGGAAAAGACAAAAAATGTGTATACATTTTTTCATTGCTTTCAGAGTATCCTAAGTCTTGTCTTGCTTACCACCAATTTCTGCCAATCACTACATGAACTATAAATACTGAAACCAAACCTCACGGGAACGGAATGATGCATCGTGAATCGCTTACAAAATCGAAACAAATGCATGACAATCCGTATAGTCTGCAATAAAAAAATATGAATCGCGCATCAAGGCGTAAGGAGTGGCCTGCGTTATCTCAAAAAGTCACTAGTCATACCATGAGACTACACACTCCAGTACAGTTGGGGGCAGTATGCACCTGAAAACGTTGGTTATGACCCGCAATTACACCAAGATGTCATGTCCCTATGTAGCCTAAATGACATTCAAGTGTTCAAACAAAATGCGGGAAGAACTTTTTTCACAGATACAAACTATTATTAGTTAAATTGTTTTCATATTCTTTTGTTGTTTAACATATTAACAGTTAGCGGTAAATGAGACCAGACGAGTTTGACTTTTGTTGTGCAGTCAACAGAGAATCTAAAAGGAATTACTTTCAGGGATGAACTGAATGAGCAGCAGAACTCCTCCTCCAAGAACAAGGAATGATGAGAGGAGAGCTCTTCTCGGACATTTCTTCAGCAGCCATGTTGAAACAACATATGCAGGGACCTCTGCTGCAGCTGAGAGAAAACAGTTCATGTAGGGATTCCCGCTCAGGTTGGAAGTGTTCAGGGACAATCCGAAATACCCGACGTTTATTGCCATCCTGGGAAACAGGAAATGTTATTTTTTATATAGGTTTCACTTCATGAGATGCAAATACACACTTCCTACACTCTACCAGTGTTTCATGTTGACCTTACATTACATATCATAAATTAATAACCAAGGAAAAAGAGCAGGGTGCCCACTGAGCGGAGGTAGTGGTTGGATTCCAGGCACTCAATCCCCGAATGCTCATAACAGCAGGTCCAGCAGTTGGTGTGTGAATGGGTGAATGTAACTTGTAAAGTGCTTTGAGTGGCTGCCAAGACTTGACGCTACATAAACGCAGTCCACTTACTACGTGGATCAATAACCGCATCTTCATTGATTAACACAGGATGGCAGTGAGGACTGAGGAAAGGACTACTATCACTCACCACAGCAGAAGACACATCAATGTAATCCATCTGATTTTCTTGGATTTCAGAATGTCGAGCATGGTGTATGTCCTGCTGTTGGATGGCCCCTGCAGCTGAAATCAAAGCAAACCCACTGGCTATGTTTATGTTAAACAGAAAACAAAGGAAAAACATGTTTAGCTTTAGTTGGACGGACAAATATGCTCAGATCAATAATAAATGCTACACATCATGCACATACAATATTAACAGCAATGACCACATGATAACTTTACCTCCAGTGTTCTGAAAATAACAGTCGGAGCTTCTACTCTGTTTTTCCTTGCAGCAATTCTCACAATCACTTCGGCCTCCTTCACTCTTCCCTGGGTGATTAGCCACCGAGGAGATTCTGGGATGAACCTAAAAAGTAAATAAAGTTAGCCTTGCTCATCACCAAAATTGATATCCGATATTGTCCAAACACTTAATTTCCGATATCAACCGATACTGACGTAGGCCTGGTAATATTTATTTATTTATCTGTACACACCACTGTGCGAGTATGAGGTTAATAATATGATCTGCAATGCTGCCATCTAGTGACCTTCAATTTAATATACAGCCGTTTATCCCCAAAAACAATTTTTAGGGCACACATCATTACGCAAAACCCAGGCATTGCGTTTTCGAGTTTTCATTATCGGAGGAAAAAATGATAACGATTCTTAAGGATATTACATAATATGCTAATATCGGGCCGATGATATCGGTTGGCCGATATTTTCGGACATTCTTAGTGTCGACCCATTAATGTTGAACATCATAAGATACATGCGTCCCATACCACCAGAGAGGAATGTAGACCACAGCAGTGGTGGACAAAACAACAAGCAGCGTCCTCCACTCTCTGATGCCATATGCAATCCAGGGTAGCGTCATGTAGCCGATGCAATAGAACAGGAAGGCTCCCATAGTTGTGAAGAGCACTCGCATGGGCTTACTCAACACCTCCGTTCCTGTCAAAGGCAAAATTCAAAGTACAGTCCTGGGCAGGAGATACTATAGAGTAGAAGTTAAAGGTGTTCTCGGAAGATGTGTTATTAGGTCATACCCAGAACAAATGCTGAAATGTAGATGGATATCTGGGAGGCTCCGACGAAGAGGAACATGACACAAAACATCCTCCATGAATGAGAAAAGGACTGAACCAGGACAGAGACACACTGGGCCGCAAGGGAGATGAAAACAACCTTTTTCCTTCCATACCTGAGCAGAGATAACAAAGAACATGGAAGATTCAGAGCACAGTATTCTGAATAGAAATTTTAACGGGTAAATGTACTAAATTATTAATATGTTGTCTGTTATGTTGTTGTGTAATTATGTATGTCTATATTCGATTTATTTACCCGCCAAAAAATTTCACACAATAAGTCAATAATATGTTTGTTGTTGTTTTTTCTTTTTTAAATACAAACCCCAAGATAAAACTCTTAGCCTTGACGTTGAATGCCTTTTAACATCATTCTTCTGTCGTTATAATAAGACATTTGAGAGCACAGTGTCCTGAACTTACATCATCACACTTTGTCAGCTTCACCTCCTCCCCCGTTGTGGCACAATAATAAAAACTTTCACCTCATTTCTCAAGTCACAGAGTGCAGTTTATGCAGCTGCCAAACGAACAAATATGTGTAACGACGCGAGTGCCTTCGAGCAGACATGCTTTAAACCGCGAAAAAAAAGCAACGGACCCCCGCCACCCGTCCCTACATAAGGAAACAAACATCGCCGGTAAAACAAACGAGTAACGGTCCGTTTGTGACAAGCTTGTGTGCTACAGCTAACGGTGCGTTCAAGTTGTACACAAATGTCGGAATTTCCACCGTTAATGGTAATTAAGGATTTTTTTTGAATTAACAATCAAAAGTACATACATAGAAATAAAACCATTATAATATAAATATATATTTACATGTTTTTGTCTGTTATGGTTATTGTAAAGTAGTATTTCTGAAAGCTTGCCCCCTCAGTTAAAAAATGAACTAAGAGAACTTAAATTAATCTTAAGAGAACTTTACCTATATTAAAAAAGAGTCAAAATCCTTGTTCATTTTATCCCTACTGAAAATGAACACTGCAAACATTTTAAAGGGTTTATCTAATATACAACTTAAAGCAATGTCAAAAAGGGATTTCTTACATTTTGAAGCAGTTTTTCCAGAGTTTCAACACCAGATAGGGCTGTTTGACACTTTACAGTCACTTGTTAAGGTTCAAGGTCCTTCCTAATGGTCAGTGCTAAATTCACTTCTCATCAACAGATCAATATCAACAGAATTTTAGCGAAGTTTAAACTATTTAAAACTTTAGGTTTAAGTTCACAAACGATGACATACCTGTCAGAAAGCTGCCCGGAGATCAAGGACCCCAGAAGGTATCCAACAAAGAGAGTAGACGATGCAAATGGGACTCTCCACTGGTCGTCACACACAAGATCCCACTGCAAAAAGCATGTAACCATGTAACCAAGTAACAAAGACAACAAAGAGGATACAATAGGAGGATAGAAGAAATCAGAAACATTTGAAAGAAAATACATTTAGTCTAACCTCTGTGACAATGTTGGAGTGGTAGATTTCTTTGCTGTAGTTCCATCCATCCAGACATCTCTCCTGTTCCAGACTGGTGAGGTTGACATCCCTTCCAGGGACGTATCCCTCAGCAGAGAGATTTCTCACCACATCGAGCCTGTATCTGCTGCACTGACTGTGCACAACCACCCCATCCACCTCCGTGAAGGGAATGACCGCGTTTCCCCACTCCTCTGTGAGATTGATGTCTGGAATGAGACAGTGGTGCTTCGGCGTCGCTCCAACAAAGACCATGTAAAGCCCATTAAAGCCAGTCGAGACAAAAACAGTGTTCAGGAGGAAGAATGTGGTCCAGAAATAAGGACCCGTCTGTCCGAGGAAGGCTGTTTCTTCATCATAGTCTCCCATTATTTGAAAAACAAAACAAAGAAAAAAAAAACTCCCTGCTCTCAGGGGAGAAAAAAAAACTGCTCTGAAATTCTTCAGAGACTGAGACACTGTATCCTTGTTAAAGTCTCCAGCTCAGTACCACAATCTTTGGGGTTGAGCTTTTTGAGAGGCAAAAAACGTCAACTGATGCCTCAGTGAGACACAAACACACTATCCAGTCCTAAGTTTGGAAGCAAGGAGTTTCATCCCAGAGCGACGGACACTACGTCTTCCAAGCAACACTGCATCTCACTTTATAAGGATGTAGAAAGTCTAGTCGTTACAAAGCAGTGACTGTGAGATCACTTGACACCAAATCATCACCTGATTTGATTAACAACAAGAATAAAATGATTAAAGGTGCTCGAACGGTCAATCACACCACACAGCCCCCCCTTGTGTGCTGTGACCAAAGAGGTTTTGCTTTTCTTAACAACATTCCACTCTTTTAAATACTCCACAGAACAGCACGTGTCTGCGCTCTGAACGTCTGCTAAGTAGCTTTAGGACTCTGATTAGACTGTTATTGGGTTGGCTGCAGAGTTGAGTCGCAAGTATGAACAGAATTTATTCATTTACGAAGAACTAATTGGAATTTACTAACAAGTGAAACCAAATATAGTTCACATGATCAGTTACTTTTAAGTTCAGTGCAGATGTTCTGTAATGATGGGGTCAAATCCTGAAAGAAAATGATATTTTGCTAAGAAAAGCCTGGCCAAAAAATAATGAGGTCACAAAAGTTTTACTGTTTTTTTTTAATGATTAACCATAATTTTATATCAGCTGGGTTTTATCAGACCATGTCATCCAACTGATACAAAAATGTATACATTGATTAACCATAATTTTATATCAGCTGGCTTTTATCAGACCATGTCATCCAACTGACTTTTAATCCGATGATACAAAAATGTATACATAAAAAAAGGGTGAAGCTGTCACGTCAGACAAAAGACAGCACTCTGTTAAACTGAGTTATCGTGTGTCCTTTAGGTATTTTGGAAATGGATATTGAGTTCTGATTTTTGTCCCTTGCAAATGTCTGTAGGTCACATCATATTTTTGGTTTATCGTAGGTTTTAGAGAGGTTTTAAGAAGAGGGCAAGGTTGGACGGGTAGAGCGTGTGCATTTAACTGTATTTGTATTATTATTATTATTATTTTTAAACATACATTTGTATATAAATATCTATAAAACTTATCTATAAAGATAAGTTTATATGTTTAAGAAATAGTTTAAACCCATTGAATTGGGAGTATCTGTGTGGAGGCTTTCTCCATCCGATACATCAATCGCATATTCATACTTGGACCTGAACACTTGATTAAATGTGCAGATCCAGCAAATCAATATCCCTCATGTAGGTAATTTCAGTAGATCAACAATGTAGATCAGCAGATTGGAGGAATTTATCAACATCATTAGCGGAGCTTACAGTGCGATTTGTTTTGTTACGCTGTGTGCGATTTAATAAACACCCAGAGACGTGCTATTGTGTTGAATACTCAAACACCATTGGTACGCGTACCAATCGTGGTACGCGTACCACAGTTTGAGAACCACTGCTGTAATGTCTTCGGACTGACTGCGCTGGTGTCTCTGTTTCAGTTTAATGGCACACCGGACAGATGAGACGTTCATAAAAGTCACTTTTTCAGAAACATCAAATCAACAATGTCTGTTCAAAGTAGCGCTACACAGTTCAAGTGACACTCTACTGGAAGGTAGGAAACAGTGTTTTCATTTGAAAAGTATCTATTGGTTTCAAAAGCTCTGCTCACTTTTCGTCCAGCTGGCTGTGTGAACTATGCAGAAAGTGTGACTTTTAATCTATTTATTTAATGATTGGTTTTTTTAGTAGGATTCTTTCAGGAAAGTTCCACAATGCTATAATAATGGCTCCAATGGACAAAAGGAATGAATGACAATGGGACATGTTTACATTCATCTGTGTTCTAATTGGCCGATAGACACTAGATCAATGTCAACAGTGGTTTAATCCACTCACTGTTGATGAAAACACTTAACACGGGTTATTTGAGGGTGAGTACACCTCAATGTTGTGAATGGGTTAAAGTACTTGCAATGCTTAAAAGATATATTATCAGTGAGGGTTTTTCTTATCAGCTGATTAGTGAACATTTCCCCACACTCTTTGAAGAATGTATGTATTTCCATTCTAAAAAGGAAATCATTTACCTCCATTTATGCAAAGACATTATGGACGTACATGCATTTAACATGAAGCTTATCTCTATAAAGAAAGTCACTCGTCTGGTACGGTAACATACGCTGTTGTCGACTCTGGACCTTCAGGAGGTCTGTGCTGTCACATGTTCCAAGAAAAACGTAATGAGTTAACTGGGGTCAACAGGAGTGTCCAGCTCACGTCTGGTCCTTTTACATTACAGTGAATCAGCAGAACACTTGCATAGACCTTATATATTTTTGTATGTATTTTTGCTGTATAAATCATTTGGCACGTGGCAAGACCTTGATGACACCCTTTTGAAAGCCTACATTGGTTTACTCATTTTAGCAGGGGTTTACAGGTCAAAGGGCGAGGCAACAGCAAGTCTATTGAAAGACATGATGTTCTGATTCTTTCAAGTTCCTAATGTTCTATTGACCTTTTGGGAATAGTTTTACTGTATTCTACCAACCAAATTTTATGATGTTACAAGTAAATGTTTTAAAGTTTAAAATTAAAATAAATTCAAAAAAAAAATTCAAAATGTTCAAAATTGTGTTTGTTTTTTTCTGGGGTCAATTTGACCCAGAGGGTAAAAGATGTAAGTATGAACGATAACCAAAACTGCCTCTCCTATAACATGTTATAAATGACAGAAATCTGTATTGAGAGATGGTATGAAGGTACTGAAGCAACAATAACTTTTTTTCCAGTTTCAGATCAATTAGTGAGATTTAATGGCTATTTTACTATTTTCGTATAGTCATAGATTTTTTGGATACACGGGCGGAGGTGTGTGTGGGGGGGCTGTTATATTGGAAGGGCTTTTTTATGTTAACAACAAAGAAACCTGAAGTACCTGACACAAAAAGTTGAGTAAAATTTTGAATTTTCTTGAGATTTAAATGTATGGGGTCAAAATGATGTTTGAGAATAGATGTTTGAAAATTTGAGAGTGACAGGAGGGTTAACTTCAAATGAATGATGGAATATAATTTAACCCTCCTCACTTCCTTTTTTCTTTACTTTGGATGCATAATTAAGTCGTAATTTGTCCTTTGGTTGAACATATTCTTTTCAAATTATGAATTATATTATTAAGAATTATATGACACAATTAAACATTAATTGAAATGAAATGACCATTTAGTTTGTCACAAACTTTTTCAATAAAAACTTAAATCAAATTATGTTTCATTTTACTGAATAATGTTATATGACAGATAGATTATATTCATTTTGGTCCATTTCAATTCAATCAGCCTAATCTGCCTGTGACCTTTTAATAATAAATAATACTCAACCTCCACTGTTGATGTGCTCTGAGGTAGAGTTCTGTTTAAACAAAGCCCTACAATACAAAATATTTTCTATATTGAATATATGTTGTAAATATGTTCATTGACTTGTGGTCGTTCTGCTCTAAAATTCTCTCAGAAAGTAGTTTTCCTTTGTTTGGAGGGAGAGGAAGAATTAAGCAGTCCCTCCCAGTTGCATTACCACCACCTACTGGGTATAATTTAGAACTAACAAATATTCCTAATATCTTTATTATTGCGAAAATATAAGTTAATTTATATATATATAAAAAACATCGAAATATATGTATATATTTCGTGGGCTACTGCTTTTATCAATACTGCTACGTGATCTCTGGTGTTTAGAGAAAAGGTAGACTATCTTTGACTTTTTGACCTTAAGACTTCTAAGACAATGTTTAACATTCATGGCTCCAAAGACAGGATAGGAATGGGTGCATCCCAGTGTTGTGTGTCCAATAGAGAACTATAGGAATAACAGGATTAAAGAAATGTGAAATGTCCTGCACGGCAGGTGTAGGTGCTGTCTTCTGTCTCCTGGAAACCAATGATTTATTTTAACAAAGTTTTGAATAATATGAATAGGGGGCAGGTGTTAGTTTGGGGTCTGGCTGTTTTGCAATAACCAGCGTGTGTCTTGGGTTCAGTGCAGCGCGCGGATCCACAGGCAGAATGATCGACTACGAAAGTGCGACCTCCTTCCTCGATGAGTGGGGAACTTTCCAGCAACAGGTATTTTTTCTCCTCTGTCTCTCCGTCGTCCCGAATGGCCTTGCCGGCTTCGCTATCGTGTTCGTCGGCGACACACCGGCGCACCGCTGCCTCATCCCCGCACACATCAACCTCACCGCCGCCTGGAGGAACAGCAGCATCCCGTTAGAGGAGGATGGGAGCAGCGGCACCATGGTGCCCAGCCAATGCTTCAGATACAAAATTGACGAGTTGCTGAGATTTTCAGAGAGGGGTCTGATGCCCGGAATTGATGTCAATCTGTCCGATGTGTCCAGAGAAAGCTGTCTGGACGGATGGGAGTATGACCGCAGCGTTTACACGGCTACCATCACGACTGAGGTTTGTGCTGCAGGAGTCACAGGTGCTTCGATGATCCGACACTCTGTCAGTGAAGAGAGAAATGAGAAAGAAATGATAGGCAATCTAATAATTCTAATAACAATAATAATAATAACGATAATTTTTTTTCACCAATAACTTACGGTACTTCTAGTTGTGTGTTGTAAGGAAGTCAATTTGACTAACAAGACTTTGTGTATGGGGCAGGTACTGTAAGCTAGAAACCTTTTTTTACAAGGCAGGTTCCATTGAAGTGTTTGAAAAAAGGAGAACTTTAGATAACAAGTTTAGCATTTAGCTCAGTAAATGCCAATTGTTCCAGTCAAATTCGAGTCAAATTCTCTGTCTGTCAAAAATGTCAAATTACAAGTGCAGTGCAACATGAATGACTTCCAAAGTTGAAGACCATGTCAAGGTTATATCATGGTAAAATTTTGATCAGACAAATGGAAAGCTTCAATGGAACAACTCGGCTTCGAACTTCTTTTAAAAAAAAAAAAAAAATTAATACTGTAAGTTCCTGACCAGATACTTTGACATCTCTTGTAGAAGTATGGCCATGTTGCATTGCTTTGTTTTTAACTATGGGTGTTCTTGTATATCTCCCAGACGCTCCTTTCCAACAGAGCTTTATCTTCAAATGAACAAAGAATTTTTTGTACTTGATATTCATGATATGTTTCTGTTTAGTTGACCTTTTGAACGATTCTATGTTAATTACCGTATTATATCCATGGAAGGAAAACGTGTCTGTCATTTTCTGTCTGTATTTAGTTTGACCTGGTGTGTGAAAACAGTTGGAAGAATCCGCTGACCTCCTCTGTCTACTTCTGTGGGATTCTTGTTGCCTCCTTCCTTTCAGGGCAAATCTCAGACAGGTAAAGTACAAAAGATTAACACCCACAGGGTTAATCTATAGGCATCATACATTGTCAAGTGCAAAGGTGAACTCTCACCTTTACCCTGTCATTCAGCCAATCATTTATTAGACCTTTTAACCACATGAAGATTTTGTACACGCGCTTCAGGTTAACTGTGGGTCTGTTTGCTGTTTTAATTCACTCCTGTTGTTTAATTTGACTCAGCATAGCTGCCCCATGTCTTAACTCAAGACCAAGGCCATCATTACTATTCAAGACACCACTGGATTCTGTGTGTGGGACACCTTTCAATTGGTAGGCAAGTCTCACAAAATTGGTTTGCGACACAGCGAGTCTCCTGAGAGCTAGGAAGTTACAGCATAAGAACATCATTGCTCGATATGAAGTCACAGGGAGTATTCCCAACCATTTACTTCTAGTGATATTGCTCAAGCCCACTGAGTTGTTTGGTAGATTTTTTTATCCAACACAGATGATTGATTTGCAACTGAGTGTTGCAAAACAAGCTTGTAGAGTCAAAATTTTAGACACTGCATTCACATTTTTCATTTATCATTTCAAGAACCGTATTTTCCGGACGATAAGTTGCTCCGGAGTATAAGTCACACCACACAAAAAATGCATAATGAAGAAAAGAAGTCGCTCTGGCCAGCTAGAGTGCCCTCTAGCGGCTGTCTGTGCGAAAATAACGTTCAATAAATTTAACAATACATGAAATTATATATTTTAATATATAAGTTGCACCTGAGTATAAGCCCAGCCAAAGGATGAAAAAAAAGCGACTTATAGTCTGGAAAATACGGTACAATATCAGCAGGTGTTTATAGGGACCAATCAATACAGTCATTGATTTTTTTATGCACTCGTCTTTTTTACAGGTACGGGAGGAAAATAGTGCTGTTTGTCACCCTTGCAGTCCATAGCCTGTTCATATTTCTTCAGGTTTTTGCTAATTCGTGGGCTGTGTTTTGCGCCTTGCACTTTGTTGTTGGGATGGGACAGATCTCCAATTACGTGTCAGCGTTTGTGTTAGGTAAGCTTGCCTAGCATTTATTCATGGTCACATGGTCGTACCGTGGTCACCAGAACACAATCTCTAATTTACCATTCTCTCGTGTAAAGGTACAGAGCTTTTAGGCCCACGTGCACGGACAATTTTCTCCACCATTGGAGTGAATCTCTTCTTTGATGTAGGATACATGCTGCTGCCACTATGTGCCTACCTGTTGAGAGACTGGAGGAAACTTCTTCTGTGCCTCTCTTTGCCTGGCTTCCTTTGTTTGCCTTTTTGGTGGTAGGTAGGTGTATGTTTGCCAGAGTGTATCTATGTGTATGTGTTGGCGTGTTTATTTCCATTTAAATTAGAATATTTGGATTTTTAATATATAAAAATATAAGGGAAAAAGTCAAAAGAGATCTGACTGTCTTCAAGGGAAGAGGACAATCAGACAATTAGATGCGTTAGTGACAAACAAAAATATGACTTTGTTGATAAAGAATGTGCTCAACTGGCCTGCATGGAGTCTCGTCCAAAGCCTTTTCTCTTATTTCTAACGATGATCTTGATGTGTATCGAGACAGGTTCATCCCAGAGTCTCCTCGTTGGCTTGTGTCTCAAGGAAGAGTTAAAGAGGCAGAGGCTATAGTGAGAGATATTGCAAAGAGGAACAAAATCCATCCACCAGCAGTAATATTTCATTCTTCTGAGGTGAGATTTGAAGCGGTACTTTATGACTTTTTTTTGACAGTAGAGTGACCCTTTAGTTTTCCTGCTACAGTTAACATAGAGCAGCATTTTTTTTTATGTCGACTAGGGAAGGAAAACGACGACCCTTGAACGCCCTAAGTCTGAGGGTGATAATCATTGACTATTTTTATCTAGTTTGCTCTAGAAAACAAATAAGGTCCCCAGCCATAACCATAACATTTTAAACCTTCTGAGCAACAGCAAGTTAACAGGTCTGTATTGTCTCTATCTCTTCCCATTTACAACATACTTGAGTAAAATATCCCAGGCTAGTTGTTTTCTGCTGTGTTTCATGTGACCTCTGCAGCAATCTTGGTCCCCGCTGTAAATACTCTCACTGACTGATTGACTTCAATCCCCAGCCAGGGCTGATAAACATCACACCACCTTAACTACTTTTGGGCCTGTATGTTTAGACACAGCAAACAAGGGATTTTCAAAATAAAAGTAACACTAGAATAATTCAATTCACTTCAATTCAATATTTCATTGTCACTGTTGTTGTTTATAAGATAGTACAACACCGTGTCATGTAGCAGAACTGGGTTATTGCATGATAAAATAATTAATAATAAGTATGCATTAATATGCTAATAACGGATCCATTTGCCTGTTTTACAGATTAATTCAATTACACATTTACCCGTCATTTACCCATCAATTCCTAACCCAATTACACATTTACCCGTCATTTACCCTAACCTTTGCCTACATTCCTACTGTTTTTGTGCTTGTGTTCACTCATTAACTTTTTTAACCTCTACTTAAAGCACATTTGGACAATGTCTTCTGCTATGTCAAAGTGTCCTCTGTTCCCTGAACTGTGCACCCCTGCAGAAGGAACCCCCTAAGGAGAGGAAGAAAAGGTTAAACATCTGCGACCTGTTACGTTCTCGAAATATCCGCGGGATTTCGCTCACGCTGTGGCTGGTCTGGTGAGTCCCTGCTGTCCTGCGTTTGGTACAGTGATCCCACATGCCCAGCTATGTCAACACTTAGGTCCTCTTGTCTACAGTCAGACATGAACAGTGTCTCTCTCAACCAGTTCATTCCTAACCTTCATGGCTCGTCAGCTCAACTCTCTAATAACCAATAATGAGCTGTCAGACACTGAAGGCTGCAGCTAAGATCAAAATCAAAACTTTTGAAGCAGCACAGTTAGTATTCATTTGTCCTGCAAGGTCAGATGCAGGCGGTTTACTTGTCTCCTTTCAGAAGAACTCTGACCTTTTGCAACAGAATATACATTGAACCATCACAGCAGGTGCTCCTTCCTTGTTCTTCTTGATCATTACTAATCCCACCCATCCCAGTGATTCTTGAAGGATATTTACTCGAACAAATATACAACAAGAGCAACAATTCACCTATTGAACAGAGCTAAACTAATTGTTGTGTTTTCCCAACAGGAACAGCCTGACCATCGCCTACTTTGTACTTTCCCTAAATACCGCAAACTTATACGGTGACGTCTACTTCAACTGTTTCCTGTCTGCTTTGGTGGAGTTGCCAGCCTACATCTTGTCATGGGTTTTGTTTCGCTGGTGCTCCAGTCGGCTGAGCGTCTCCTCATCTCTCATTGCTTGTGGAGTACTGCTGCTCTTCGTTCAGCTGATACCAGCAAGTATGGCACAAAAATGTTACAGTACTTTAAAAAAAAAAAAAGAACGTTGTTAAGCCCTATCCATATTTGTCCCACATGGTACAAGGTTCCTGACTGGTCTGTGAACACAACTTGGCTCTTACAAAGTGAACCTGTGGAGGCAGAAGGCTAAGCTTCAAGGTTCTTAAATATTGCTTAAATACTGCTTTAATATTACAACAAATACTACACAACAAGGACAGTCCCTTCTTGTTGAGAAAGTTGAAGAGCATCCTGTACGCCACTTATCTCCCATATTTTTTCAGCTCCCTAAATCTAATGTAGTTTTACGTATAGTTTCAAAATATGAATGAATATTAGCTCGTATTAAAATGCTAATAAGAATTGTTCATAGGTTGACACTTACTTGACGTCAAACTTATCTTTTTCAAGGACAGTTCATAAAATAAATAAATAAAACTTTGTCAATCCCTTGGGAGTTCTCTTTGGGAAATTAAGGCAAATTAAGAGAAAATACAAAGTTGTATCTCATAATGTCAGTTAATGTTGGACAGCACCTGTAATGATATTTTGAGTACGGTAAGCAGTAGTCCAACATCCTGCCTATGTTAATCAGTCTTGTATTTTATTGTACTGTACAGTACTAGACTTAACTGTAATGTGCTATACTACAGTATACTGTACAACACCGTACTATCTATACTACACTTTACTATAATGCTTTATATGCATATTATAATTATTTCTTTCTATTGATTTTTTTTGCTCTTTTTTTTAAACACCCACAGCGTGTTTGACATAAAGTAAATCATTATATACAGCACATGCAGTTCCTTTATCCAAATCCATTTCAAACAACTGAATGATCCACTTCTGCCTTTTTCAGACCTGGTCCTCTTGGCTATAACACTTGAGATGATGGGGAAGTTTGCCGTGTCCACAGCCTACGCCTTTGTGTATGCATACACTGCAGAACTGTACCCCACTGTGCTGAGGAACACAGCTATTGGTGCATGTTCCACAGCCTCCAGAATAGGCAGCATCATTGCTCCTTATTTCATCTACTTAAGTAAGGATTCACACGTTTCTGCCAGAAAATCTGGTCCTTTTTCTAACATCATCTACAAACAAGTCACACTTACTCTAACAGGCAGACTTTGGAGTTACTTGTGGACACACACGGCAGAGCAACCCGACACGAAGAGCAGAAGACTTAATGTTTCAGCCATTCTTTACTGCAGCATGTCCTCAAACTACTGTTCATGGTTTTAAAATGGCTGATGCATGATGGTTCCATAGTGCACACAAATACCCATCAAATATTTATCTCTACATTGGTGACGACTGCACAGTAATATACTGTGGTGTTCTGCTTTTCTTTTTCCACTTAACATTAACCCTTCCGTCCCTCAGTTACACAGCCACTCAGAGTGGAATAATATTTTATAGATACGTTTGGATGATCTGTAGTATATTATCCATTGTAGTCTATTATATTTTGTTCAGCATTGCTAAGGTTACTTTTACATTTCATGAACAACATTACAAAGACTAATCTGCTTTTTTTTTTTTTTTTACCCCGCACAAGAGTGAAGCAGACTTCCTTCCAGCTGGACTGGATAATGAAGTTTTTGTTAAGTTTATTAGCCCTAATTTATCGGTCTGACCACAGACGACTATTTCTTCCGTCCTTTAGAACTTCACCCTTTGTCGTATTGTTCTGAGTTGTCTCTTTGTGCCAAGGTTGTATTTCCTCTTTTTTTTCTCTCTGACGTACACGCTGCCACAGGGAGATATTGGACTTCTCTGCCCTACATCCTAATGGGAAGTCTCACAGCTGTGACGGGGTTGCTGAGCCTACTGCTGCCTGAGAGCTTTGGAAGGCCTCTGCCAGACACCATGGCTCAAATGCAGCACTTCCCTGGGTAAGAGAGCGTGTCCCTCACAAATGGGCTGGCCAGCATTGAGTATTCTAAAAGGTTACCAATCTGGGGTTCTTATATTTTTGGTCAACATGGAGAAAAGTTCATTTTTCTTACTTCTTTTTTATTATATTCGAATGCAATTTCACCCTTGTACGTGTAAATACCAGACTTTAAATACTTTTTAACTACTTACCAAGTTTCTTTCTTAATCTAGATGTTGTCAGAAGACTCCGTACACAGTCACAAAAACAGACGATGAAAATCCAGATGAAAGGAACCTTCAAGTCTTGAATGAAGAAAACAAGAGAGATCCAGTCTTTCAGCACATCTCTTCTTAAATAGCATTTGTCAAGCACAACTTTATCAAAACAATGGAAAGAACAGTAAACATGGGTAGATCGCGTGGCCTATTCTGCTTCATTCTGTCATTTAAATAAATCCTACCGTGGCCTGGTTTTGATCCAACGAAGGGTTAGAACTGTTTTGGGGGATCCAAAGCATCTTAGCTGAAGACGACTGGACAATCTTAGGTTATTGAAGATGTTTCGACTCCAACCAAGCGGCCTCTTCAGATCTCAATGACTTGGTATTTCAGTGGCTGAATACCTGAAAAGGGAAGTGTTACGGTTAAATAAAGGAGATTACCACGCCCCTGATTTAATGATGAATTAAAAGTGTTAATGGGAACTGAGGGGGTGTGTCATATAGGAGGTTGGTATTACCTGAAGTCTGCGAGTCCCTTGGAGCCGTTCCATGTTGTTTGGTAAATATGACTTTTCTGGGGGGAGAGAGAGAGAGAGGGAGACAGAGAACACATGACCACATTGTAGGTGGCTGACAGATGCCTTCCCTGTTGAGAGCTAGAAGTGTAGATGGCACAAAATAAAGTTGTTTGGACAAAAAGTCCAGATTATTCAGCGTTTTTTTTTTACATATGTAAAGTAATTTTTCTGGTCTATGGAGTCCTTAATCTAACAGACAGTTGACTGTTCGTGTTGCGTATCAACCTTTAGTCATATACAGTACTGAATATGCTTTATGTTAAATAAATCCTACCGTGGCCTGGTTTTGATCCAACGAAGGGTTAGAACTGTTTTGGGGGATCCAAAGCATCTTAGCTGAAGACGACTGGACAATCTTAGGTTATTGAAGATGTTTCGACTCCAACCAAGCGGCCTCTTCAGATCTCAATGACTTGGTATTTCAGTGGCTGAATACCTGAAAAGGGAAGTGTTACGGTTAAATAAAGGAGATTACCACGCCCCTGATTTAATGATGAATTAAAAGTGTTAATGGGAACTGAGGGGGTGTGTCATATAGGAGGTTGGTATTACCTGAAGTCTGCGAGTCCCTTGGAGCCGTTCCATGTTGTTTGTTAAATATGACTTTTCTGGGGGGAGAGGGAGAGAGAGAGAGAGAGAGAGACAGAGAACACATGACCACATTGTAGGTGGCTGACAGATGCCTTCCCTGTTGAGAGCTAGAAGTGTAGATGGCACAAAATAAAGTTGTTTGGACAAAAAGTCCAGATTATTCAGCGTTTTTTTTTTACATATGTAAAGTAATTTTTCTGGTCTATGGAGTCCTTAATCTAACAGACAGTTGACTGTTCGTGTTGCGTATCAACCTTTGGTCAAATACATTACTGAATATATGGAAGAAATTGTTTTATATCCTTTTTAGGCTAACAACACTAACGTTTGTATAAAAGAAATTACAGTAAAAGGATAATGGGCCAAGTTGTTGAGTCCATCAGTGAAGTAACTCTGTGTGGGACTTGAAGGAGTTGAAGAGTTCACAAGCTTCAGTAGGATATGATTTCCTTAAATATTTACAATCACCTTTAGAGAGAAACAGATATACTGTAGTAGCACAAACGACAGCGCATCCTTTTACAGGCTGCTGGTTTTGTTGTTGGACATTATCGTACATTCGATCAACTGCTGTGAGCCTCTAACAACTGTCATCAGTTTAAGCCTTTCTCACCGTGCACACGAACAATACAACATCCCAAGTATAAGAAATGAGTGTCTGCTTCTCTGACGCTGACACATTGTTTAACAGCTCCCTCTTGTGGTGTGAACCCTTCTGAAGCCCTTAGACTTCCGTTGCGTAGAAGATTATTACTTAAGTGTTGTGTACATTGCGTACCTGTATCAAAATAAATGCAAAAAATACTTACTTAAAAAACTTCCAATGGCAAGGTAACCTCCCATTTATGTAGGTCCTCCATCTCTTCCAGTATGGATCACCTTTTCCAGTGCTATATCTCAAAGAAAATGTTAACCTTTCCATGTTGTAGATTTCCTCAATTGTTTGTATCCAGTCTGAAATAGTCAGAGATTAATTACTCAACCATTTCCTAGTTATTGCCTTTTTGCTACTTGGCAACAATAATTGTAATACCTGTCTTGTTTGTTCATTTTAATTCATATGTTTCCAAAATATATAACACTAAAAGTGGGACATGTTTTATCTCGGTAATTACCTTGTTTTGGCTAGCCTCCATTGCTTCTTCTTCAGGCATCATGCTAACTATAACCGTATCCTAAAAGTTGTCCGGGAGCCTCCATTTTATGCTGCTGCTCGTACCTACACCATACCGGAAGTCCAGAAAGTTGTGCATTTAGTCAGTCGCAAGGTCAGATTTTTCCAAGACAAATGTGACGTTCAAAGTGGAATAAGGTGAATGGTTCTAATGTAGAATTATAAAGGCTACTCTCGCTCTCTCCCTATGTTTCTTCCTGTAAAATAGGTAGGTTGGACCATACAGTATGGCAAATGGAACACTTTTCCTTCGTTTTTAGATAGCTATTGATTTTCGTTATTATATATGTATATATATGTTTATATATACATATATATCTGTGTATATATATATATACAGTTTATTTACTCAAGAATACTACAAGAATGGACAGGATGGACAGGATCAGGAATGAGGTCATTAGAGGGACAACACAGACAGGAAGGTTTGGAGAAAAGGCTAGAGAAGCCAGATTGAGACGGTTTGGACATGTGCAGAGGAGGGACAGTGGATACATTGGTAGAAGAATGTTAGAGATGGACCTACCTGGTAGGAGACAAAGACGACGGCCAAAGAGGAGATATATGGATGCAGTGAGGGAGGACATGCAGATAGCTGGAGCCAGAGCAGAAGATGGAGAGATGGAAATCAATGAATCGCCGTGGCAACCCCTGAAAAAAGAGACAAGATGAAGGGAAAGGAAGAGGAGCAATTCTTGCTTCTTGAGTTTCAACACCAGATAGGGCTGTTTGACACTTGCTCAGGTTCAAGGTCCTTCCTAACGATCGTTGCTAAATTCATTCCTCATCAATGGATTAATTTCAACTGAATTTTAGCAAAGTTTAAACTATTTAAAACTTTAGGTTTAAGTTCACAAACGATGACATACTGGGTAGGTAGTGGTAATGCAAATATTAACGGTATCTTTATTATTGGCAAATAATAAAAAAAAATCACTATATACAGTATGTCCTGTGGGTTAATGTTCCAAGTTACTGCTTAAATCAATACTTGATTTTAAAATGTTTCTAATTTTACATAACACCCGAGGACACATTTCTTGTTAGATTGGAAAACATGTCATCAGAGGTCAAATTGTCTCTGTGGTGATAAGAAAAAAGGTAGGATTAAAAAAAAAGTGAACCTCCTCCAGGGCAGGGAGAGGTGCTGTCCTGGATGCCAATGTTTTAGAAAACTCGTTTTGGTTTTGAATATGCATAGGAGGAAGGTGTTAGTTTTGGGGTGTGGTTATTTTGCAATAACAATATATAATAATAAATAGTGGGTGTCTTGGGTTCACTGTAGCACACAGATCCACAGGCAGAATGATCGATTATGAAAGTGCGACCTCCTTCCTCGATGAGTGGGGAACTTTCCAGCAACAGGTATTTTTTCTCCTGTGTGTCTTCATCGTCCCAAATGGCTTTATCTCCATCACTATCGTGTTTGTCGCCGACACACCGGCGCACCGCTGCCTCATCCCCGCACACATCAACCTCACCGCCGCCTGGAGGAACAGCAGCATCCCGTTAGAGGAGGATGGGAGCAGCGGCACCATGGTGCCCAGCCAATGCTTCAGATACAAAATTGACGAGTTGCTGAGATTTTCAGAGAGGGGTCTGATGCCCGGAATTGATGTCAATCTGTCCGATGTGTCCAGAGAAAGCTGTCTGGACGGATGGGAGTATGACCGCAGCGTTTACACGGCTACCATCACGACTGAGGTTTGTGCTGCAGGAGTCACAGGTGCTTCGATGATCCGACACTCTGTCAGTGAAGAGAGAAATGAGAAAGAAATGATAGGCAATCTAATAATTCTAATAACAATAATAATAAAGTAAGTATTAATCTGTGTGCCTGTGTGTAACTTAATTCTAGTTGTGTGTTGTAAGGAAGTCAATTTGAATAACAAGACTTTGTGTATGGGGCAGGTACTGTAAGCTAGAAACCTTTTGTTACGAGGCAGGTTCCACTGAGGCAAGTGTTTGAAAAAAGGAGAACTGCTGTCAATTTTAGCATTTAGCTAAAATGGCAGCTCTGGTGTCTATCCCTTAAATACTCCACACAGGGATATGTATGTGTATATGTAATTACCCAATTACTATGGGCGTACTTCTTTCCAACAGAGCTTTATCATATGAACAAAGAAAAAAATGTACTTAATATTCATGATGTGTCTGTTTTATTGACTTTTTGAACAATTATATGCTAATTATTATATCCATGGAAAAAAATACGCTGAAGTGTCATTTTCTGTCTGTATTTAGTTTGACCTGGTGTGTGATAATAGTTGGAAGAATCCGCTGACCTCCTCTTTCTTCTTCTGTGGGATTCTCGTTGCCTCCTTCATTTCAGGGCAAATCGCAGACAGGTAAAGTACAAAAGATTAACACCCTATGGGTGTTAATCTTTTCTGGAGTATAAGTGGCACCAGCCAAAAAAATGCATAATGAAGTAGAAGAAACAAAACCCCCATAAAAGTCGCTCCAGAGTATAAGTCGCACCAGCTAGCTAGGTGCGACTTATACCCTCTAGCGGCTGTCAGTGTGAAAATAACAAACTTTTTAATATATAAGTTGCACCTCACAAACCCAGCCAAAAAGTGCGACTTATAATCCGGAAAATACGGTACAATATCAGCAGGTGTTTATAGGGACCAATCAATACAGTCATTGATTTTTTTATGCACTCGTCTTTTTTACAGGTACGGGAGGAAAATAGTGCTGTTTGTCACCCTTGCAGTCCATAGCCTGTTCATATTTCTTCAGGTTTTTGCTAATTCGTGGGCTGTGTTTTGCGCCTTGCACTTTGTTGTTGGGATGGGACAGATCTCCAATTACGTGTCAGCGTTTGTGTTAGGTAAGCTTGCCTAGCATTTATTCATGGTCACATGGTCGTACCGTGGTCACCAGAACACAATCTCTAATTTACCATTCTCTCGTGTAAAGGTACAGAGCTTTTAGGCCCACGTGCACGGACAATTTTCTCCACCATTGGAGCGAATCTCTCCTGTGATGTAGGATACATGCTGCTGCCACTATGTGCCTACCTGTTGAGAGACTGGAGGAAACTTCTTCTGTGCCTCTCTTTGCCTGGCTTCCTTTGTTTGCCTTTTTGGTGGTAGGTAGGTGTATGTTTGCCAGAGTGTATCTATGTGTACAGAAGACACAGAGATTTTCAATAGTTAAAATAAAGCAAGCATAATTTTGGATTTGACATGTCTTAACAATATGAATGAAATCAAGAAGTAACTAAGTGGTGAAGTACGGAAACAAATTTTCATAAAATACCTTTCTGTGAAAAGTAATAGAAACCACATTTGAAAATGATTTCTCAAGACATACTAGAAACACACGGAAAACATGGCAAAAATATAAGAGTGAAATGTATCTAGAAAAACATTCTTTTATCTAAAAAGATCTAAAAAAAGATTCTAAAGGAGCATCTACCAAAGGGTGATTTTTTAATTATTTTCTGTTTGATTCTTTTATTTACGTTTACTAAAGTCACAGGAAATACCCTTTGCATTATTTCCTTGTTTCCAGATTCCCAAAGCCTTTTCTCTTATTTCTAACGATGATCTTGATGTGTATCGAGACAGGTTCATCCCAGAGTCTCCTCGTTGGCTTGTGTCTCAAGGAAGAGTTAAAGAGGCAGAGGCTATAGTGAGAGATATTGCAAAGAGGAACAAAATCCATCCACCAGCAGTAATATTTCATTCTTCTGAGGTGAGATTTGAAACTGTACTTTAAGGCTGTTTGGACTGTATAACCGTAAACTTGCTGTTGCTCAAAAGGTTATAATACCTTTTGAGGAACAGCAAGTTAACAAGTCTGTATTGTCTCTATCTCTTCCCATTTACAACATACTTAAGTAATTATTGCATGATAAAATAATTGTCTACTTTACCCAATTAATGCGTTATTATGCTAACATATTAATGTGCCCTAAAGCACATCTAAATATGTTTAACAGACTAATTTAATTAGAATTTTAACTGTCTATTTCCATCCTTTGATAGAAAACAGCTTCTATTTCCATCCTTTGATAGAAAACAGCTTTTGCCGACATTCCTACTGTTTTTGTGCCTGTGTTCACTCATTAACTTTTTTAACCTCTACTTAAAGCACATTTGGACAATGTCTTCTGCTATGTCAAAGTGTCCTCTGATCCCTGAACTGTGCACCCCTGCAGAAGGAACCCCCTAAGGAGAGGAAGAAAAGATCCAACAACATCTGCGACCTGTTACGTTCTCGAAACATCCGTGGGATTTCGCTCACGCTGTGGCTGGTCTGGTGAGTCCCTGCTGTCCTGCGTTTGGTACAGTGATCCCACATGCCCAGCTATGTCAACACGTGAAAATCCCAGTAGATCAGCAGTTTCTGAAATACTCAGACCAGCCCTTCTGGCACCAACAACCATGCCACGTTCAAGTCACTCAAATCACCTTTCTTCCCCATACTGATGCTCGGTTTGAACTGCAGGAGATTGTCTTGACCATGTCTACATGCCTAAATGCCGCCATGTGATTGGCTGATTAGAAATTAAGTGTTAACGAGCAGTTGGACAGGTGTACCTAATAAAGAGGCCGGTGAGTGTATGTTTCGAACACTAGTTTGTCCGGTTTGGGAAGGTTTTCAGTGTCACTCCATTTGTGACTCTGAGCAAGAACGAACCAGTCTCTTCAGCAGTGAAAGCAAATGAATTTGCCAACGTAACATTAAACGTTCTGTTTTCTTACGAAACTTTTCTTTTCTATGATTTACCCATCATTTACCTACCCGTGGTCGATAAGCTCAATAAAGGTGCAGATGTGTGTCGGGTGTCGCACATCGGCAGATGTGACGCATATTTTGAGCGACAGAAAACAATCATCTTCAAATTTAGAATTATATTAAAAAAAGAACAAACTAAAATAAAAAATACATTTTAATTATTTAATTTCCAAAGTCACAGGGAGCAACAACAGAAGGGTGAAAGAGCCACATGCGGCTCTAGAGCCGTGGGTTGCCGACCACTGCACTAAAGAGAAAAGTTAGTGATTCTTGGAGTCCAGTGAAGGATATTTACTCTAACAATGTACAACAAATGGAATAAGTCCTCATAATTCAATGTTGAGCCATTTTTCTATTGTACAGAGTTAACTACTTGCTGTGTTCAACCCAATAGGAACAGCCTGACCATCGGCTATTACGCGATTTCCCTGAATACCTCAAACTTATACGGTGACGTCTACTTCAACTGTTTCCTGTCTGCTTTGGTGGAGTTGCCAGCCTACATCTTGTCATGGGTTTTGTTTCGCTGGTGCTCCAGACGGCTGAGCGTCTTCTCATCTCTCTTTGCTTGTGGAGTACTGCTACTCTTCGTTCAGCTGATACCAGCAAGTCAGTAGCAAATCGAATGTAGCTTTACATATGTTTTCATAAATTAATTTTAGCTCATATTAAAATGAAATGAATTGTTCATAGGTTGACACTTGTCTGAGCCAGGTGACGTCAAACCTACAGCAGTTCTCTTTAGTCAGTTAATGTTGGACAGCACTGGTAATGATATTTTGAGTACGGTAAGCAGTAGTCCAACATCCTGCCTATGTTAATCAGTCTTGTATTTTACTGTATTGTACAGTACTAGATTTAACTGTAATGTGCAGTATACAGTATACTGCAGTATACTGTACAGCATTATACTACACTATGCTTCATATAATGCTTTATATGCATATTATACAGTAATTATTTCTTTTTAGTGTTAAAGTAGCAGAGTTATATGTTGTTAATTGATTTTTTTTTTCTCTTTTTTTAAACACCCACAGCATGTTTGACATGAAGTAAATCATTATATACAGCACATGCAGTTCCTTTATCCAAATCCATTTCAAACAACTGAATGATCCACTTCTGCCTTTTTCAGACCTGGTCCTCTTGGCTATAACACTTGAGATGATGGGGAAGTTTGCTGTGTCCACCGCCTTTGCCTTTGTGTATGCATACACTGCAGAACTGTACCCCACTGTGCTGAGGAACACAGCTATTGGTGCATGTTCCACAGCCTCCAGAATAGGCAGCATCATTGCTCCTTATTTCATCTACTTAAGTAAGGATTCACACATTTCTGCCAGAAAATCTGGTCCTTTTTCTAACATCATCTACAAACAAGTCACACTAAGCACTTAGGGGTTACTTTGGTGACGACTGCACAATATTTTACTGGGGCGTTCCGCTTTTCTTTTTCCACTTAACATTAACCCTTTCTTCCACAGACGTCTTTTTCTTCCGTCCTTTAGAACTTCACCCTTTGTCGTATTGTTTTGAGTTGTCTCTTCGTGCTAAGGTTGTATTTCCTCTGACGTACACGCTGCCACAGGGAGATATTGGACTTCTCTGCCCTACATCCTAATGGGAAGTCTCACAGCTGTGACGGGGTTGCTGAGCCTACTGCTGCCTGAGAGCTTTGGAAGGCCTCTGCCAGACACCATGGCTCAAATGCAGCACTTCCCTGGGTAAGAGAATGTGTCCCTCACGGTCTTATATTTTCGGTCAACATTGAGAATAAAGGCCCGTTTGGCTTTTTAATCTGGCCCTTCAAACCTGTCCAAATCATATTATCAATTTATATTATCATTAATAATTATCATGCCCACATTTCCCAATTAAATGGCATAGGAAAGGCTAAAAGCATTTTAGCATTGAGCCTTTATGTATGACTTTTACATGTGATTTATCTTAGTTCACACGAACGCTCCATCTATCTGATTCATATGTTAGGACCCATTGTGGCCCACGAGTCAAAAGAATGCCCACGCCTGGTGTAGACAATCGCTTTTTTTCACCTCCTCTATGGTACATGGAAATACCAGACTTTAAATACTTTTTAACTACTGACTGAAGTTATTTCTTTTCTCAATCTAGATGTTGTCAGAAGACTGCATACACAGTCACAAAAACAGACGAAGAAAATCCAGATGTACTGAACCTTCAAGTCTTGAATGAAGAAAGTACAAGAGATCCCGTCATTCAGCACATCTCTTCTTAAATAGCATTCGTCAAGCACAACTTCATCAAAAAGTTCTAAAGTACATTAAGAACATTAAACATGGGTAGATTGTGTTGCCTATTCTGCTTCATCCTGTCATTAAAAAAAATAAATCCTACCGTGGCCTGGTTTGGATCCAAAGCATCTTAGCTGAAGTCTGCGTGTCCCTTGGAGCCATTCTGTGTTGTTAGGTAAATATGACTTTTCTGGGAAAGAGAGAGAAAGAGAGAGAGAGAGAGAGAGAGAAAGACAGAACACATGACTACATTGTAGGTGGCTGACAGATGGTGTATTTAGTGCCTTCCCTGTTGAGAGCTTACAAGTGTAGATGGCACAAAATAAAGTAGTGGCAAATAAAGTTGTTTGGACAAAAAGTCCAGATTATTCAGCGTTTTTCTTTTACAGATATAAAGTAATCACAAGCACTATTTCTGGTCTATGGAGTCCTTAATCTAACAGACAGTTGACTGTTCGTGTTGCGTATCAACCTTTGGTCAAATACATTACTGAATATATGGAAGAAATTGTTTTATATCCTTTTTAGGCTAACAACACTAACGTTTGTATAAAAGAAATTACAGTAAAAGGATAATGGGCCAAGTTGTTGAGTCCATCAGTGAAGTAACTCTGTGTGGGACTTGAAGGAGTTGAAGAGTTCACAAGCTTCAGTAGGATATGATTTCCTTAAATATTTACAATCACCTTTAGAGAGAAACAGATATACTGTAGTAGCACAAACGACAGCGCATCCTTTTACAGGCTGCTGGTTTTGTTGTTGGACATTATCGTACATTCGACCAACTGCTGTGAGCCTCTAACAACTGTCATCAGTTTAAGCCTTTCCCACAGTGCACTCGAACAATACAACATCCCAAGTATAAGAAATGAGTGTCTGCTTCTCTGACGCTGACACATTGTTTAACAGCTCCCTCTTGTGGTGTGAACCCTTCTGAAGCCCTTAGACTTCCGTTGCGTAGAAGATTATTACTTAAGTGTTGTGTACACTGCGTACCAGTATCAAAATAAATGCAAAAAATACTTAATTTCTTTGATGAAAACACAGATCACAATTGAAATATCGGTTAAGACATATTTAATTAAAATGATTAATTATGTGATTAAAGCATATTAAATACTAATAAAAAAGAATATTAAAAAATACAATTAAAAAATAAATAAATATAACTGGACTTATTATGGATCTACATATTTCTATATTTATCTAAATTTATCCAATATTCTGTATAAAAAAGAAAACCAAAAAGGGTTGTGAAGGAACCGATTATTATTAGCAATAGTATTTGCCCCCCATCTCATAATTATTGTAAATAAGAAAATAGAAGGAAAAGAACTGTGGTAATGGGTATGTTGACGGCAAAACTATAAATAGCTGCTCTGTATTTCTGCAGCTGTCCCCTTCATATCTCTCTACCCTGACCCTCTCATATTTCCCTAGCACCCATGCTGCCTCGTTCTGCACAGACAACAGCCTGGCCATGCTCTGCCCACTGGGCCGGGCCTCTCTGTTCCTCTCCCACTCACCTCGGACGAGTGAGGGTGTTCACTTGGAAGGCCCAAGTCCCAGTGCGGCCCAATAAAAGAGCGACGACCTGAAGTTAACTGGGGTAAGAGAGAAAGTAATGAGCTCCGACTCTTGTGGAACATACGTATGGTGAGCAGTTTGCTCTGCTCACGGTCTTCCTGCGCTAGTTAAAGCTTCTGCTAGGGTTCCAGTGGCATCTCAGAATGGCTGTTTGCTCTGACTATTTATAGGAAAGCACTGATGAAAGCAGGGTTTGAGGTGTAGAAACAGTTTGCTGCGGCAGTGCAATTCACTTGGCCTTTGAAACTGTGAAAGAAAAAACACCTCGATGACTTCAGTTTAGAAAGTTCCTCATTTGTAATGGTGTGTGTTACACTCAGTAAAACCTAATTTATTTTTCCATAATAAAATGTCTTTTACATTTAATCTACCATCAGGTTATCTAGTTCTAAACACTGACAATGATCTAAAAAATGCATCACAGAACAAACGTGCAATTTCAATGTAATGTTATAAATGTTATATAACGATTATATGCTGTATAAATTCACAGTCTAGTATGGTATTATCTCTTAGTACCATCTAGCTAACCCTACTGCTCAAGTCAATTTATTTCCTCCTTATGTGAGTAAACAAACTATCACTGGCTATCACAGAATGACTAAAATATTGTTTATTTAATAGCCCTCTTTTACACACTTTGTAGTATCCAGATGTAATATTTTTTGTACATTTTTTTGTCCATAAGAGAGCTATCTAATTTTCATAACGTTGTAACTATTCTCTGGTCTAACTGCTCTCCTGGAGTGATCAGTGATATGCAGGAAATGACCTCATAGTTTTCAACTTCTTTAAACTTTAATTCCTAGTCTTCTCTGCTACTCGCAGAACATCTCACATTTTTACATCTCTAATCATTCCGTAGAACTCTATTCTCCACCATCCAGCTTTGTTCCATGACCACTGGCCTATCACCATGGCATACAGAGGCCGCTTTTCATTTTGGGATCACAAGGAAAGTAACCCTTTTTAAAGCATTTTTTTTTTTTTTTTTGCATTTATTTTTGCATCTTGCTAGTTTATATATCGTACAATTTTATTTTTTTAATTTTATTTTTAATTTATTCACATTCAACCAAAATAAAATGTAAATGTAAAATGTGTTTTATGTTTTTTATTTGTATTGTGTAGGTTAAAGTGGACAACAAGCCAGTTGTAAGTTTTTCACCTCTTTTTTCTCTCTCTAAAAAATAGAAAAGTTAGGGTTAGGGTTAGGGTTAGGAAAAAAATGTAAGCTAAGTTAAGTTAATTCTAAGTTTATGTAAGTTTAAGGTACGTTCCGGAATCAAGTATCTACGTACGGGCCGACTCTCTTCCCTCCATCCCTCCTCCTCCGCACGTGCCGCCATTAACCACTACTGTATCGTCTGTCTCACAAGTAACAACTCATAATTAAAACCACATTTTATTTTATATCACAGGAATCCTTATATACTATATATGTTTTGTGTGTATGTCTCTATAGCAATTAAAAACATGTTTTTGTCCATTGTTATTAGCACTAATAAGGTATTTCAAGGTATTACTGTAATTGTACTTGACATTGTCCTGAATTTATTAACCTTGAACTTTTGACAGCAAATAAGAAAATTCACCGTTTTCTGCCTCCACTTTTTTGTGTCCAGGCTGATGCAGATAGCGGTAAGCCTCAGACAGTCGCCAAACAAGAACCAATCACAGGAAGCGGTGCACAGCCAACCGCATCGACAGCTGAAACACCAAGCAGTTCATATGCCATGGGCGGGCCAGATGGAGAGCAGAGTTCCAGTGGAAAAAAAGTGGTGAGGGTCGTAAGAAGGGTGGTGAGACGTGTGGCACCTGACCCGACTGAAGAACAGAGCCAGCCCACTGTTCAGGAGTCGGCCACGTCTTCATTCAAAACCACTAAGGCAGCCGCTAGAGACGACAAGGATGATATATCAATGGGGTTGACCAGTCTTATGGGCAGAAGCCGCACCAAGGAACACCGACTCCGCTCACGGACCCAGGATCGCAAGGAGGACTTGAAAGAAGAAGGGAAGAACCAGGATGAGGAAAATGCAAAGGTGGATGAAGTGGAGAAAAAGCCTGAGGAAGACAAACCCGTTGAAGACTCATCCAAATCAGCACCTAGCCCTACAGCAAAGATGAATTCTCCCACCCCTCAAGTTGGGTTCATCCCTCCACCTAAGCCGGACCCTCTAGCCCCACCAGCTGGTTTCATCCCTGCACCCAGACAAAATCCTTTGACTCCTCTGTCTGCTGCCAAAAAACACAGTCCCGGGCCACCAAAACAGAACACTCTCCCAAGACCTCCGGGATTCATCCCTATTCCAAAATCAGACCCCTTGGCTCCTCCAGCGGGCTTCATTCCAAAGCCCCGCACAGTTGCTGTAAAGAAACCTGAGGTATTTTGTGTGGTTCCTAATCCAAGGGTAGAGCAAGCTGAATAGCAGTTACTCTGGCACCTGTCTTTATAGCTACTTTGCAACTTTTAGATACTGATACTGCATTTACATTTGTCTGGACAAAACAAATCATATTTGAACAAAGTTACGGGCAGCGTTCACACCTGAAGATACCATAAAATGAAAGGTGTATTGTTAAAATATAACTTAATGTACAAGTCAGAAGGTCCGATTTTTCCGAGACAAATTTTAGAAATTAGAATAAAGTGAATTGTTCTAACATAGAATTTTTAAAGGCTACCCTTTCCCTATGTTTCTTCCTGTATAATACGTAGGTTGGACCATACAGTATAGCAAACAGAACACCTTTCCTTCATTTTTAGATAGCTACTGATTTTCCTTATCATATATATATATATATATATATATCTATATAAATATAGATAAATATATATACAAGGGAGGCGCCATTATGCAAGAATGTTTCATTAACATTTAAGTTCCAAATATTTAGAATTTTCTGGGGTTTTTTATCTGACAGACTTTATAGGGATAAAATAATGACAAATTGTAAAACAAAACTGCTCATGATCAAAGCTCAGTGGTCACAACGTCAATCATTTAAATTAAATTTCAAATCAAAATATAAAGGAATCAAACAGAAATGTACTTAAACTAAACAAATGTAATTAACCTGGGCCAATAGAACTAAACCATAGAAAATGAGCCAAAATGTTTTATGTGATAAAAAAAAATCATACTTAACCTCATTTTCCCTTGTTATTTCTCCTCTCTTTCTCTCTTAATACTGTCTTAAGGTCAATGAGACAGCTTCTCCCCCTGCTACACTGAATGTTAAACCATCCCCTGTGGTCAAGTCTACAGCAAATGAAAAGGTACGTTTTCATGCCGGTGCTAGAATAATCCTCACAGCATCTCTGTCACCATTTCAAAACACTAGACTTTTTTTATTCCTTGACAGATTCAACCAGTCGTCTGTTGAATGTAATTTGTTTTTTTTTAGCTGTACTATATTTGCAATCACCAGTCCTATGCAACTGTAGGTCCCAAAGCTGATTCCCACTGAGGAAGATTATAGGCGTATGGCGAGGATCTTCACTTCCAGTGATGATAATGTAAAGTTTGTCTCCTTGGTTTGCACTTGTCATGCTTTAAATGATCCTGCTGTGACCAGACAGACTAAAGTGCTGCAATCCAAAAAAGTCCAGTTCATACAGTATCAGACCAGAGACAACTCTGTATTTCTCTTTGTTTACTGATATATCATTCTGATTAATAACGTGAAAATACAATAAAACTTATTTTTACAGGTTGACAGAAGAAGCCATTATATAAAAAAATTAGTCTCGTGATTTCCTTGGCTGTGATTGGTTTAATTATTGCTGCGTTTTTTTCTTAATCAACAGTTTGTCTTTGTTTTTATTTTGCTTGCTCTGTCTTTTAAACCTGCCTGATACTGAAATTATTTTTGCTGCGTGCATGACTACTGGGCTAGCTTCCAACATTTCCAATGCATACTGCCTGTTTTACCAGTCTTGCCAGTAGGGGTGATGCGGCCAAAAAATTAGACTTGACAAACTACTAAAACTGGAGGTTAATTTGCTTGTAATAATATAGTCCTTATTTAATCACTTTGTACTTATTAGCATTAGCATTAGCTATTCTATTATCTTACCCTTTGCTGCTCACTGTCCCTTACCCTTAGGCTGCTAATGTAATAATGTAGAGCAACTAGTATCGCGCTTTAATATATTATATTAGAGCCAATGACTTAGACAGCTCCCCCTTACCCTTAGGCTGCTAATGTAATAGTTAGTGCTACAGTTATATTAGAACCAATGACTTAAACAGCTCTCTCGGCTATAGATGCCTGACATGAATTTGTATTCATTATTTGTACTGCTATTGTGTTTTGAGATGCTTCTAAAAGGTCATATTTTCCAACCTCCCATGTGTAATTTTTTTATGAACCAAAATCCAATGTTTTTGCAAATGTAAACTTTTTATTTGATTCTCAGTACTGACTTATCTCTGTGCAAATGTAAACTTTTTATTTGATTCTCTGACCTACTGACCTATCTCTGCTTCTTTCCCTCTCTTGCTGTAGCTGGTTGAAGACCCCGTGGCCATGCTCCAAAAGGCACACTCATCTGCAGCTAAGGTCTGGCAGTGTTTATGAATGATTGTACTTCCGTTAGTGCTTCACATTAATTTTTGCTTTGGCATGTTTTGCAGTTAGGTGTGATTAAGTGGTGTGGGTGAATGTTTTAGTAGAGATGCAGCAACAACAAGAAGAACATTTTTCACTCATCTTGTCAGCCTTGTTCTTGTTGACTAACATGAAACTATAACTTACTGTACCAAGTCATTAACTTGTTTATGTCCAGAGGTGACAGGGAAACCTAGGTTTTAGTGAAATATGCATGTGTGCATGGGTTTTACTGTTATATTGAGAAAATGACAATAATACAAATCAATTCACGATCACATTTTTTGTCATTCTTGATATGACAGGGAAAAACTGTGGAGCAGATAACTGCAGAGAGAGCCTGGTATAATTCAGAAAAGGTGTGGCTTGTTCACAAGGATGGATTTTCACTGGGTGAGGAAGAAAAAAGTCTTCTTATTGATTTAGTACTGATGATATTGCAATACCTTTGTTTTTTCTTTAGTAAAAGTGGCGATGAAGTTAAAAAACAAACATTTAAACATCACTTTTTCGTCCCTCAATGGGTAAATATACAGTGTACAATGAGTCTTTGCAACCCACATGTGTAACATACCTGCGATCGTTGACTTACTACATGAGATTATTAGATTATAAGATATTAATGAAATCCAAACTCACCTGTTGAAACACAGCAACTCTCCTGAAGTCCGATGTGAGCACTCTGCCAGAGGGGAAGGCAAAAATCCGCCTTGATAGTGATGGAACCTTGATGGATGTGGATGACAATGACATAGAGAAGGTAAGACATCATGTGTATTGGCAAGAATCTGGCGATACAATACATATCACAATACCGTGTCAATGGTACAATATACTGTGATATACTGTGATACTATAGGCACAATGATATGTTGAGTTTTTTAAGCGATTAAATTGTGGGAAAACTGTCAGCAAAGTAAACACACAATGATGATACATGCTTAACATCAGGTTACAAAATTAGAACATAGGGATCTACATTTTGTAATTGCTAGAGAAGAAATGAAGGCAAAATAAAATGAACCTATGTCATAAATATTTCCAGGTCAATTGTTACTGTAACGACCTTAGTCTGACTAGAAGAACACACTCCCGAGGTTCCGAGAGTTGGACCTACAGATTTGACTACAGAAGCGGCAGTGCCAATCCTAATTGCTATTAGCATTGTGCTAATGAGCAATCTTTTTGAGTCAGTTTACACTCTTCACAATGGTACAAAACG